TAAACAGCTCTTCAGAGAGTGTACGAATTCTGGTCCACATCTTTTTCTAACATTTTGCATTTATAAAACAAACATCATAGCTGAGGCAATATTTTGAAATGGAAAAAATAAAAATGTGTATTTCTCATTTCACAAAAAGTACATGTTATTTATATTGTCCGACTTCTTTTATATAAGTAAAACAAATGCTTCATTTAGTATCGTTATCGAGAAAGAAGAGAAGCACCAAAATTTTCCCATCAAGTTATATTTGTAACTTGACGAAATTTGTTATCATTAATTTATGATTTCGTTTTCATGTTCCCATCTATCCTTTTCATATCAACTAAGCAACACACGTTATTGAATTTTAATTTTTTTTTTCAACGTGTCGTTTTACTGAGACCCACTAAACAGAATATTATGTATCCAAAATAGAATCAAAACTGCTTGAGCTTAATCGTTTTAGTAAAAATAAACATCATACGTATAAACACTAATATTTAATTATCATTAAATATTAACAATAAAACTTAAATATCATTTTTTAAAGTTTAAAAATAAAACAAACAAAAGAAAAAACGGACACAAAGACAAGCAAGCTTTCCCTGTATTCATGCGACAAAGACTCTCGCTTTACTTTCTGGAAAGTGAAAAAACCAATCATTTTCAACCTTTTTCATGTAAATCCAATAATAATAAAAGATTTGCTTGTTGAAAACAATAATTATGCAAGAAAATTAATGAAAACAATCAACTACTATCGTCTATCTTTCAAGTACACATTTGTAATCTTTGTAAATTGTGTAATTAATTAACAAAATCAATTCAAGAATGAAGAATCCCATGGAAGGATAAGACAGATTTAGATGATTATGTTCTGACATAGAATAGAAAGAAGGTTACAGAAATCTACAGATGAACGAAATCAAGCAAATCGCCATTAATTTAGCTTTTATACTAAAAAAAAAAAAAAAACAGAGCGTTTCTCTTTGGCTAAAAATGGCTGATTCAAATCCAGAACAAATGAAAGGGGTTTCAGTTTTCAGCTTTTCTACATTTACTGGCACAAAATTGGAAACATTTTATTTACAAAAGTTGAGATTTGAATCAGAACCTAGAGAAGAGACCCTTTTCGAATTTGAATTCAATCTCTGAACCTCGAATTACGACTTCGAAAATATTAGGTGAGAGTGAGAGAAGACTAGAAGAGATGTTCTTGAATTGTATAGAGTATAAAGTCCTACCATCTTGACAAACCATTCTGTTCATCCAAAATCCAAGTTCTATTTCGCCTACTTCTCATTCTACCGAAAACTGAACTGGATAAACTTCGACTTCTGTTCATGGATGAACCATTTGAATTTGAAGAGGGCCTTGATCTCCCGAAGAAAGAGAAAATGTTGCGAAAAACTCTGCCGAATCCACCTTCTCCTCTAGTCCTGTTCCTTCTCGATTCCCACATGATCCTCCTCGGCGTACCTGAACTGTTATTGAACCCGCCGTCCATTTCCGTGTAGACAACTGGAAGCTCTCTCTCGCCACCGCCGGTTCTTCTACTGCCGGAGAATCTTCCAACGGCGAATCCACCGCCAGGTAATCTCCATATCGTTAATCCAACTGTTGCTGATTCTTCTTCGGTTTGGTCCGAGCCTTCTAGATTGGGTGAATTTGTTGAATCTGTTGGGAGTTCGTGGCGGCAAATCGGACAGGAGTTTCGGAGATTCAGCCATGGGAGAATGCAATCGGAATGGTAGATGTGGTTACATGGCATCTCACGAGCTTCAGCTCCGACAACGAACGCTTCTTTGCAGACAGCACAGTGCAATTCGCTGGTAACTTGTGAATCCGAGATCTCAATCGTGGGCAACGATTCGACAGCCGCTTTCGACGCCGGTGGATGTTCTGCCCTACCTAGTCCGTTTATCTCGATCTGCGATAATTGATCGAGCAACCGGTCAAACCCGGACCCCATCAGAAACTCCGACATCGTCGGCGGCAAAGGTTGTAAACCAGAACCTGCTCCATCATCATAATACAGCTCAAAACCTCTATCTCCACTCTCTGAATTCTCAATCCCACCTCCTTCGGCACCACGAAGAACAATAACCGGATTAAACGGCGACCTGTCTCCAGTGTTTCGACGGCCTTCACGCCGGAACCTCAGATCTGACCGATCATTACTTCCAAGCATGTACATCGCGGTTTGAGGAAAACGCCGTCGAGATTCCGGCGGTGAAGGCGCGTGAGAATCCACCGCTTCAATGAATTCTCCCTCGCAGTAAGGACAAACAACGGAGTTTGCAACCACAACAGCTACTCTGATGACGCGTGTGCATCTGTAACACCAATACGACGACGCCCTGGACATGTTTACACACACACAAAAATAACAAAAACTTTGAAAACCAGCCCGTTGACCGGTGAGCTTGAAATCGGAATATCAGTATGTCAGATCCGGTGAATCTATATACGTCGCCGGAAAATATAATTTACAGATTCCGATGATGTGGTGGTGTATATGGAAGCTAGAAAGGGCGCGCACACATATAGAGAATAGAAAATGAGGGCATGGATTGATTCGAGGAAAGTAAGAGGAAATTTGGTTTTAAAGTTCACGCGTGATGATGATGGTGGGGGTGGGGGTTGGGGTTGGGGTTTTAACTTTTAACGGCAGTAAATTTAAGGAGCGTTGTTTGTTGTGTTGCTTTTGCCTTTTGTTGGCATCTGTTGACTGTTGGACGCGTACCAACTTAAAAAGGCTTCGTTATACCGTTGTATCTTACATAAAAGTTTTATTTAAGGTTATTTGCTAATTTTTAAAATAGTTATATTCAAATAATTAGATATTTGAAATTAAAATACAAATCATGGTGATCGAAGACACTGTGAGAATGGAAACATAATTTTGGAAAGTAAGCACGTTTAAAATTGATTAATATTTAATTAATATTTAATAAAATATGGATATTTTAAAAATAAACGTTTGAAAAAATAATATAAATAAGTATAAAAAATAAAATTGCTATTAAGAGTGGTGAAAATAAGTTATCAGGTTAATTAACTTTTCGTTTTGTTCAAATTTAAGTAATTTTATTTTTTTGTATACATTTAATAATTTAACTTTTTTAATTTGTTCATATATTACCAATGTCACTTGCTATAGCCAGTGATAATAGTAATATATAAACATATATAACAATTAAATTGTTAAATGTGTATAAAAATAAAGAAATTACCTACATGTGAACAAAACTATAAAAACAATTACCTTGTTAACAACAAGTCATTTTCCTTATGAAAACATCATGAGGTTGATCGACTCAAAACTGAAACTATCCAATGGTCCTTGAATTTGAATTGATCTAGTTTAATTCCTTTAAAAGTGCAATGCTTTGTTTGGAAGGAGCTAGAATTCCGGTTGTTGATATATTAGCTTATATAAGTATTAAGGATCCCGTTTTAGAGTGTAATTTTTGCGGGATTGATTCACAATCTTTTGCTCACCTACTCATTAAATGCAATTTTGCCATGATAGTTTATAGGAGGGCGCTGAAATGGTGTGAGATTTAAGGTAGATATTTTTTTTAATCTTTTTGAATTACTTGATTATGTTGATTCATATGGGAATTGCCTTTGGAAAATATGGAAATCTCTAATAAAATCTCAATATTTTGGTTTAGTTTACAGTTTAATCTAAATTTTTATTTTTTGAATAGAAAAAGTATAATTATTTAATATTTTACTCAAATTAACGAAATAGTTCTTATTTTTTTTCACAGAAAAAGACAGAGATTATCGTATAAAATTAGATAATCACGATTTTTCTGTTCAAAAAAATAAATGTTGATATTAAATTGTAAACTGACCTAACATATTATGATTTTATAGAATATTTCCCCGAAAAAGATTTGTAACTAGCATCATTTTCTTTTACATGTTATGGAATGTTTGGACGGCAATAAATGACAAGGTTTTCAAAAAAATAAGTTCCTCTCCAGCTAGGATTTTTTTTTAACGTATCCTTGATATACCTTTGATGTAAATACATGAGTAAGCTTGGTTCTCGTAGTTTGTAGATTGATGTTGTTCGCCATTTAATCACTTTACTATTTAACAAATTGAACATTGTTGTTTGTTTTTCTGCGATTAACTTCTTTGTAATCGAAGGTCTTATTTATATATTTATTTGTTGTTACAAAAATAACCATGTTAATTATATTTATTATTTTTTAATTTAATCAAAATTTAATGAAAATTATCAAAAATAACCATTATGAGTCTTAAAAAAACGGACAACTCATTTGTGAAATTACAAAAAAAACTACATTATTTTGGTGATTTTTGCAAACGGATGTCTATTTGGCAGATATCATATACGAAAATAAAAAGTTTCATGTATTATTAGTATAAAATCTTATTTTTTGTTTTTCATTTAATAATAATAATAATAATAATAATAATAATAATACTAAAAAATGCTAACACGTAGCTATTAAGAGCTATTAAGGTTACTTTTAAGGTTGTTATAAACACCCCTTTAACTATATTTATCCCTTAAAGTCAATCAAATTAAATTTTTGAAATTTGATTTAACATCATTTTTATCTTTTTTGACACACACACACATATATATATATATATATATATATATATATATATATATATATATATATATATATATATATATATATATATATATATATATATATATATATATATGAAACCCTTTTCTGCACCATTAAGGTGTCCACGTGTTGTGATATATCGGAGATGGTTGGATTGAGATTGTAGATGAGTTCCGTGCAGACTCCTTCTCCTAATATCACAGTACAAAAGAGAAAAATGACCGTTAGTCGACGCCTGGGAGGAATTCCTGGGACGAAGCTCCGACGATCAAATTAGAATGAGGCCAGAGAGAAATAAGAGTAAATAACATGAAAAAGAGTTTCGTCCTCTTCTTCGTGAGGAAGAAGGACCCTTTTTTACTGGTTTAAGAGGCGTGTGCCCCTTAACTGATTATGTTGAGCATTCCCTCGTGTGGTGCGACGTGGCAGACCCGTATTGGAGGATCATCTGTCACGTCTTTTTGCCTCATTTCCTCATTGGCTAGAGGGGTATCTTTTGACATTATAAGGATCGTCGCTATCGTCAGATAGGCAAGTGGAACTCTCTGATTGGTCCCATATTTGCCGGGTTGTTATTCCTTGGAGAAGAGGTTAAGGCGCGGTTGTGCACCTCATACTAGTGATCTTCGCGTTGGCGAAGGCCCGACCTTAACCTCGGACTTCGTCCGACTGGGTTCTGACCAGGCCAAGCTTGTCGTTAGTTTGACTTTTCCTTTTTTGACGTTCTCCCTGAGAGGTATGTTAACAAGTCCCTTAGGCTTGTAGGTGTATGCGTTGGCTTAATAACGTCGCCGTTCGAGCCTATATTACAACACGTGTATGTCAGAGATTATCTCTAGCATTTGACAGGCTTTAGACAACGCCATCAATGTGTGTCAGATCCATCGTGAGACAGTTCGTGACTCTAGTTTTTTCTTTAAAATCCCCTTTTTTCTGAGACCTTTCATCCTCACCTCTTTTCTTTGCTTTCGTTGTATCGACTCAAACATTTTCGCAAATTTTTCTTTCCTATCATTCATCGGTTCTTGACTATGGACCATTATTGTAGAGTCCCTACCGTGGAGGAATTACAACTTCTACAAGATCGTTTTGGTTTCTTACCATAGCATAGTGTGATGATTCCGACAAAGGGGTTATCAATCTATAAATGTCCTCAAGCGAAAGTGGGGGTTCCGATCCCTCTATTCGAATCGGGGTTGCATTTGCTGACATCTGATCGACATGATTGTGCATCACTATGGATTTTATGTTGACGAGTTAACCCCGAGTGTCGTCAATAAGATTGTAGGTTTTGAACTGATTTGTCGTTCTCTAGGTTGTATACCCACTTTTTGGGTTTTCATTTACTTTTTCTGTTCAACAACGAACGCTGGTGTTTGCACTCTAGCGAAAAGGTTGGGCATTCATCAGTTGATCTCCGAACAATATACTCCCAAGAAAAAGTGGCTTAGACAATGGATTTGGGTTAACCGAAACCTTATGGGGTATGGGTTTCGCAAAACATGAGACTTTCCTGACCGTCTTCCTAATTTATTCAGGAGTAACTTAACTATTGTCAAATAGCTAGGAAACATCACTATCATTGGAGATAATTGGGAAGATTTCATTCTTGCCGTAGCCGGTATGAGTGCTGCATGGAGGGCTCGTGGGAAGATGATGTAGTTATTCGTTGTGAGACGCGGTATTCACTCATCTCCTTCCCCTCCCCCTCTTTTTCTTTTTCAAAAACAAAGTAGAAAGGAAGAGAATAGGGTATATTGCTCGCTTGTGAGTTCTTATACTTGGCATTTGTTTTTTTACAGGTGTTGAAGCCGAGATTTCCTTAGAGATGGTCCTGCGTGGTCACTATCGGGGTAAGCTTTGCCACTGGGAGATCGATCTTTTAGAGGCTCTTCGCCCTCTTGTGTCTAAAAAACGCATGCGAGAATTTGCTGGATTTCTCTCAATAGAAGGAGGAAATACTTGTTCCAGCGGACCAACCTCGCATTCCCGACTGGCTGTTGGGGTTGTTTCCCCAGTTCATTTACCGGCTCCGGCTTCTTTTGGTTTGCCTGTGGGGGTACAAGCAGAAAAAGGTACTGTCCATATTAAGAAAAGATGAAGTTTACATGTCGTGCTATAGTCGGATGAGGAGACTGAATCTGATGATGCATGCCTCTATCCTCGCAAGATGCATAAGACTGTATCTGTGGCCAAGCTACTTGGTGGTATCGACGATGTTCTTGGTGATAGATTTTTTGTGCCTGGGCAGAAAGAGAAAGAGGTGGTGCCTAGTTCTTCAATGACACCTCCTTTTCCGTTTATTGGTTTACTCTCCATTGATATCGATTCCGGCTCCGTGTTGGAGGGTACACTGGGCTCATCTGGAGATTCTTCCCATTTGGGGGAAGCCTACCATGGTTGACAAAATAGGAACTACGTCTCACTCCTTGTCTTTCGAGGCCTATACTCCAGGTTGGGAGATTACTAGGGATTCCTTACTGTCGAAAGACATCAATGCCCAGGAGTGGGGTAGCTGTGCTCACCCTCTAGCTACGATGAAGTTTCTTGCAAGCCAATCGAGTGCTCGTATGGCCGATGACCTTCTTTATCTCGCGACTCAGGCTTCTGCCCTTATGGTTGTTGTCGCCGACCGGGTTTTCCGTGCCGACGTGAATGAAACACAGTTAAAAACTTTTCAAGGCACCATGATAAGCATAAGGGAGGAACTCCATGATTCAGAGGTTGAACGCCGAGTACTTTTAGAGCAGAATTGTATTATGGCATGCAAGAAGGTCGCTTTAGAAGATCATGTGGCCACTTTGGAGGGCCAAAAAGAGTGACTTGAAAGTTAAGTTAGTTCTCTTACTCGAGAGAAGGGGGTGCTAGAGATTGAGTTGACCAGGTGCCAATGTCAGCTGACCTGTGCCCGTGTTGATGGTGTTGTTACCCGAGGCGTTTTGCAATGGATGCTGGAGAAGGGGGTGGTTTGCATAATTGATAAAGTTATCGAGAGCACAGAGTTTTCCAGTGGGATCCAGGGCATTCGTAAGGCATGTGAGGCCCTTGTGTAACACCCAAAGTCTGGAAGGCAAAGAAAGGAAAGAAAACCCTAATTTTTAAGGGCCACTCGGCGAGTCCAAGGAGGAACTCGGCGAGTCCGAGCGGGATCCAGGTCGAGGAGTGAGTGACCGACTCGGTGAGTCGGCCAAGGGGACTCGGTGAGTCTGGTCTGTGCGAGGAAAAACCTAAATTCAGGACTTGGAGCCTATTTAAACGTGTCATTCTCTCCCCTAGGGTTCCTTTACTGCCTCTTTCACCCAGAACATCGAACCCTAAGGCCCATTGTTGCTCATTCAAGCTTCCAATCCATTTTTGGGTGATTTGAAGGAAGGAGAAGAAGGGGAATCATTGAAGCTTCAAGGATTGGCCTTAGATCTAAAGATTGGGGAAGCTTTCTGAGTTATTGAAGGTATTAAGTCGTTCTCTCCTTTAGATCTAGTATGGTTGTGAGTTTTGGGGGTTTTCTAGCCGTGATTAGCTACCCCTTTTGAGTTAGAAGACAGATCTGAAGTTGCTAATTCTGATCTAAGTATATTATGGTCCTGAGAAGCATAAAGTATCTGCCCTTGAGTTGATTATGGAGCCTCTTTGCCTTAAACCCTAGTTTATGGTGTATTTTGCCTAGATCTTCTTCTCTACACGTAAAGTTTGCAAATTTACGTGAGGAATAGGCTTGGGAAGGGTAGATCTACTGTTTGGAGTCCATGCATGACTCAAAAGCCCTCTGCATGTAAGGGGATTTGAATGGACTCGGTGAGTCCTTTGAGTGGACTCGGCGATAGCATGAAGATTAGGAGCAACTCGACGAGTGGGATGAATAACTTGTCGAGTCAGATGAAGATTGCTTTGGACTCGGCGAGTCTGTTCTTGTACTCGACGAGTCAGGTCGTGAAACACCAAACCCTTCGAGTTGAGACTCGAATCAGTGAGTAGAGTGGAGACTCGGTGAGTTGGACAGGTCAGGACTCAGAAATAGGTAGACTCAGCGAGTCATGGACTGACTCGGCGAGTCGAGATGCGAAAAGAAGGACACTGAATATATGAACTCGGCGAGTCAGTAGGTTGACTCGGCGAGTAGGGTTGACCTGGAAGGTTGACCTTGACCAGGAATTTGACTTTGACTAGAGTTGACTTGGTTGTCTCTCGGGGGTCAGTTAGACTCAGTGTTGCTTTGATATTGGTAGTTCGGGGAGCAAGGGGAGCAGGAGTTCAGAGAGTTGCCGGGCAGCAGTTAGTGAGATCATCAGCAAGTTCAGCTAGTGCATGTGAGTTTCCTTTGTGTGAATGGGTCTAAGGCCACAATGTCGGCCCATGTAGTGATGAGTAGAAGGCCTGGGGGTTAGCCCTAGGCACAGTATGCTAGTATGATATTCAGGACGAGGTCCATTAATAGCGGGCGGGTGCCCAAGTATTTGTTTATATGATAGTTTATACTTGTTGTCTGCGTGATACATGTATGTGCCTGGTAGGGAGGTGAGTGTGGGCGAGGTCCCGTATCTCACTAATAGCAGAGTGTGGATGGTGTTCCATATCTCATTAGTAGCAGAACAGGGGCGAGGCCCAAGTTAGGGAAAGGGTGAGTGTGGGCTAGGCCCGTAACTCACTATCAGTAAGGGCGTGGACGAGGTTCCATGACTCATCAGTAGCAAGACAAGGGCGAGGCCCATGATAGGCAAGGCCTTAGGACAGAACCAGTGTACGTGTTTAGTTTATGTGTTGTGATATGTTTATGTGTTATTATTTGTTAGTGGGCGAGGCCCGGTGACAGGCGAGGCCTAATTGAAACAGATCTGTATCCGAGCAGGGCTCGAAGCCAGGCGGGCCCTGGAGCGGCGGGGCCGTCATAGCGGGCGAGGCCCATGATAGCGGGCGTGGCCCAGAATGTGTTGTATGTGGGGAACTCACTAAGCTTTGTGCTTACGATTTTCAGTTTTGGTTTCAGGTACTTCCGGTAGCGGAGGGAAGAGCTCGGGGTGATCGCATGGCACACACCATAGATTAGACAGCCTGGGAATGTTTACTCTGATAACGAACATGTGTTTTGAAAATTAATACTCTGATTATGTTTTGGAATGATGAATTTGCTTAAAGTAATGTTTTATTAAAAGAAATTTTTGGTCTTGAATTTTGGGTTGTTAGAAGTTGGTATCAGAGCCTTGGTTTGAGGGATTCAGACATGCTCTCGGGTGTGTCTGAACTCAAATTGAGGAATTGGTATAGAAGTTTTCAAAATGAAAAGACAGTTTTGTAAAAAGAGAGTTCTGAGAAAGAAAACAGTTTTAGAAAAGCAAAAAGAATTCAGAAAGAAAAGAACTTTGAATAGAGAAAAGAGGTGTGGTGCATGCAATCAATCGAGCTCAAGTAAGTACCCCAAAATACCCATACCAATCTATGTTTTGATTATTAGTTAATAGAACAGCATGCTAGATTAGGACTAAGGACCTAGGGAGGATGCCTTATGTGCCTGTTATATGTGGTTTTGAGCTGCATGATAGTACTGGTTAGACAGTAGTAGGATAGCCTGTTTAGGTTATGCCTTAGTTTATGAGTTTGTGTTGCATGCTAGTTCAGATTCTTGATATGATATTATGATTGCTTGAGTATGTTATGGTTAGATTTTTCCCTTAGTCTTAATGCTGCTTGCTTTGTGCATTGTGGGATTCTGAGTGATGGAAGTTAGCCATTAGGTGGATACGACACGTCACATGTGATCAGGGTTGAATAATCTCAGAGTGTTGGATTTGGTCGTATTGCACAACTCTTGTTTGAGTCCAACCGTTGTAGGGACAAGTCTTTTACTTGAAGGATTATCTGAGCCTCGTCATATGTGATGGTATCCAGGTGATGGCTAATTGGCATCACAAGGAGACCTTCAACAGCTGAGGACTGGTTTGAGTTGAGTTGCAGGTTTCCCTAGGGTAAGCCTAGGATGAGGTAGTGCTGAGAGCAGTAGTAGTAGAAAAGGGACCTGGTGGAGTCGAAGCAGTTCTTGAGGAAAGTACGGATAGATGTGGAAGGTAGTATGGGCCCGTACTACTGAAAGTAGAGGATCCATACTCGATTCGGGAAAGGCCGAGACAAGACCGGGAACCTGGTAGTGCGTATGTTTGGTCTCGCAGCAGTGAGGAGTATTTTGATAGTGGTTATGTTATATGTTTCAGCATGGTGACGTTGCGAGAGAGACCAGTGGGCGGATCAGGTGCCGGAGAGGGATCAGGCTCGGGTTCAGGGGCCGAGCAGCTTGAGGAGCGGATGAGGGAGTTGATATCAGCTGAGGTTACACGCAGTATTCTAGATCAGACTCCTGTGATATTTGGCACGGTCAAGGAGGGTATATTGGAGATTTTGGATGAGAGGCTGGGAGCCTTCCGTACTGAGATGATGGCATTGATGGGAGCGCGTACCTTGACATTTCGGGAGTTCAGGGCTTGTGGGGCACCAGATTATCATGGGGCTAGGGACCCCATCGCTAGCAGCAGATGGTTGGCTGATGTTGCCAACGCATTCCGTACGAGCCGGTGTCCTGAGGAGGACAAGGTCAGACTCGCTTCCTGTATTCTGAAGGACATAGTGAGGGATTGGTGGGAAGAGATTGGTCATGCTTTGGGTGATGATGCCGCGTTGGACGCGATGACTTGTGGTGCTTTTTCAGCCAGGTTTAGGGCGGAGTTTTCACCAATTATTGAGGTGCAGTAGTTGGCACGGGAGTTTCAGGATTTGACGCAGACCACTGAGACTGTGGCGGAGATCACCACCAAGTTCATGGAGAGGGCTCTTCTTGTACCGCAGTATATCGCAGATGAGGAGATGAAGAAGGCCCAATATCACGAGATGTTGAGGGATGACATCAGGGAGTTCGTGAGCAGGTCCAACTGTAAGACGCTGGAAGATATGATTTCTCGGGCCAGGGAGAGAGAAATTGATTTGGAGGAGATCCGGAAGAGGAAGCCGGATGAGGTTCAGGTAGCCGCGAGTTTGGGCAAAAGGCCCAAGGGATCGGATTCGAGATCGAGGGATTATCAGGATCGCAGCCGATGCGGGAAGTGTGGCAGGGCGCACGGGGGCGCGTGTAGGAGTGGTAGTGGTGGTGAGTCTGGCTGCTTCAAGTGCGGTCGGACTGGTCATTTTAGCAGAGATTGTACTGTTACCACCACTCCGGGATCAGACTTGTTATGTTTTCACTGCAATCAGCGGGGCCACAAGAAGGCCCAGCGCCCCAATTTGTTTTTAGCAGGACTGGTGATGGCACCTACCCCTGCAACTTTGAGGATCACAGACGGCCGTCAGGGTCGTTTAGAGGCACCTGCAATAGGAGGCAGGGCTTTTCAGATGGCTACCTTGGAGACGCGAGTAGCGCCGGACGTTGCAGGTATGCGACTTCCGTTTTCAGTTCTTTTATTTGTGCATGATTATATTGTTATGGTTCTGCATCATTATCAGTATGAGTATTTTTTTTTGAGTGGTTTGATTGTGATCGAGTTATATGCCATCTGCATACCTTAGATAGTTGGATAGTAGTTAAGGGATGGGTTCTATTGGAGAAGGTTACTTAGGGTGCAGTAACTGTAGCATGCCTTGGAGGGACTTGGTATGTCTCGCTAGTTCAGAGCCGTATAAGTTTTAGAAATGGAATGGTTAAATCCCTAGCTATGGTAAGCTTGGGATTCCTTAGCAGATTGATTATGGAATGGTAGCGAGGATTGGGATTTCTTTTCGAGCATTGAGAAGCAAGGGTTAAGTAGGATCGAAGTGGGGGAGAATTCTATGAGCGTGCAAAGGTAAGAGCACGCAAATCTAGAACGAGTACGCGATTTCTGAGAAGGAAAAGAGGTAGTTCAGCGTTTGATGGAGTGAGTGGTTCAGGGTTGGGAGTTTGAGAAACTCCCCATCAGTCGTGCGCGTAATGGTGATGGTGAGTATGTGGTTCGGAATTCAGGTTGAAGGATCGCCTGTAGGGCTCGTGTGATTCGGAATGAAGATCTTGAGGACAGATAGCATGGGATGATTTTGTGTTAGTAGACAGTGGCATAGGCAGCATGTAGAGCATGGAAGAGCGGCAGGAGAGCCTCAGCCTTTTTCACTAGCAGTCAGTGGTGGAAGGTGTTGTAAGACTACGGGGCAGCCTTAGCATTCACTAGCAGTTAGTGGTGGAAGGTGTTGTAAGACTACGGGGCAGACGTAGCATTCGCTAGCAGTTAGTGGTGGAAAGTGTTGTAAGACTACGGGGCAGCCGTAGCATTCACTAGCAGTCAGTGGTGGAAGGTGTTGTAAGACTACGGGGCAGCCGTAGCATTCACTAGCAGTTAGTGGTGGAGAGTGTTGTAAGACTACGGGGCATCCGTAGCATTCACTAGCATTCAGTGGTGGAAGGTGTTGTAAGACTATGGGGCAGCCGTAGCATTCACTAGCAGTCAGTGGTGGAAAGTGTTGTCAGACTACGGGGCAGCCGTAACATTCACTAGCGGACGGAGATAGAAGGTGATGTAAGACTGCGGGTAAGCCGTAGCATTCCGTAATAGCTTCGTTGGCAGAGTTGGGGCGAGGCACTTATCTCCTAGCTTTCAGATAGGTATCAGGAATGGGCAATGGATGAGAATGGTAAGGAGTATGCATGTATAGCCCTTGAGAGGTGAGACCTTCGGAGAGGCCATTCTAGGATATAGTTGGGTGAGACCCGTGGGCGAGGCCCGTATGAGAGTAGCAGTATAGGTGAGACCTGAGAGTAGGGTTGCTCAGTAGTATGGTTGGGTGAGAACCGTGGGCGAGGCCTAAGCGAGAGTGGTTAGACAAGTGGGACTAGAAGGTTAGAGGCAGGTGAGACCTGTGGGCGAGGCCCGTGAGTTTTAGCAGCACGGGTGGGACCTGGTAGGGATCTTAGTGTCTGGATAGCGGATCGGGGATCCCAGGAAATTGTAGTGCCTGCATGGCAGGATAGATTGAGCAGTTTTAGGTGGTCGAAGTTTCTTCGAAAGCTGCTGGGAGCGACTAGTAGGTGTGTTGGGTCAGCGATCGGTGGGAGCCGGTAATCCAGATATTGATAGGTTGGTAGGAACCAGGGTGGTCTCAGTTCATCCGGAAGCTAGATAAGGAATAGTAGAATTTCCAATCAGTAGCAGTGCGAGTATGCAGCGTATGGTGGAATTCATTTAGTTGATCGTGGGGTGCTCGACACCAAATGATAGTAGGAGGAATGCCCAGTGGATACTAGCGATAAGGACCCGTACTGGAAGTAGCGGGAGTAATAGATTTGGTGAAGACAGGGTCTTCACGGTGGCAGAGGAAATAGATGGTTATGGAGCATTGCCGTGGGAAGGCAAGGAAAGAAGGGGTGAACCCCTATGGGTTCAGTTACAATACTCGGAGAGTACAAGAAGGATTGTCGGTTGAGTAAGTTGTGTTTCTAGAATGTTTAGGGTCAGGATGGACCTGAGATTATTATCCGTAAGGATTGACGTTAGTCTAAATGACTGAGCGGAAGGCCATCGAAGGTAGGCAGCTGGTGTTAGAATAATTGGTGGGGTATTGGAGGTAGATTGCAGGCGGTGGATCATAGCAAACTTCGAGGATGAAGTTTAGTTTAAGTGGGGGAGAGTTGTAACACCCAAAGTCTGGAAGGAAAAGAAAGGAAAGAAAACCCTAATTTTTAAGGGCGACTCAGCGAGTCCAAGGAGGAACTCGGCGAGTCCTAGCGGGATCCGGGTCGAGGAGTAAGTGACCGACTCGGCGAGTCGGCCAAGAGGACTCGGCGAGTCTGGTCTGTGCGAGGAAAACCCTAAATTCAGGACTTGGAGCCTATTTAAACGTCTTATTCTCTCCCCTAGGGTTCCTTTACTGCCTCTTTCACCCAGAACATCGAACCCTAAGCCCCATTGTTGCTCATTCAAGCTTCTAAGCCATTTTTGGGTGATTTGAAGGAAGGAGAAGAAGGGGAATCATTGAAGCTTCAAGGATTGGCCTTAGATCTAAAGATTGGGGAAGCTTTCTGAGTTATTGAAGGTATTAAGTTGTTCTCTCCATTAGATCTAGTATGGTTGTGAGTTTTGGGGGTTTTCTTGCCATGATTAGCTACCCCTTTTGAGTTAGAAGAGAGATCTGAAGTTGCTACTTCTGATCTAAGCATATTATGGTCTTGAGAAGCATAAAGTATCTGCCCTTGAGTTGATTATAGAGCCTCTTTGCCTTAAACCCTAGTTTATGGTGTATTTAGCTTAGATCTCCTTCTCTACACGTAAAGTTTGCAAATTTACATGAGGAATAGGCTTGGGAAGGGTAGATCTACAGTTTGGAGTCCATGCATGACTCAAAATCCCTCTACATGTAATGGGATTTGAATGGACTCGGCGAGTCCTTTGAGTGGACTTGGTGAGTAGCATGAAGATTAGGAGCAACTCGACGAGTGGGATGAACAGCTCGTCGAGTCAGATGAAGATTGCCTTGGACTCGGCGAGTCAGGTCGTGAAACCCCAAACCCTTCAAGTTGAGACTCGAATCAGCGAGTCGAGTGGAGACTCGGTGAGCTGGACAAGTCAGGACTCAGAAATCGGTAGACTCGGTGAGTCATGCACTGAATCTGTGAGTCGAGACGCGAAAAGAAGGACACTAAATATATGAAATCGGCGAGTCAGTAGGTTGACTCGGCGAGTAGGGTTGACCTGGAAGGTTGACCTTGACCAGGACTTTGACTTTGACCAGATGGTTGTCTCTCGGGGGTCAGTTAGACTCAGTGTTGCTTTGATATTGGTAGTTCGGGGAGCAAGGGGAGCAGGAGTTCAGAGAGTTGTCGGGCAGCAGTTAGTGAGATCATCAGCAAGTTCAGCGAGTGCATGTGAGTTTCCCTTGTGTGAATGGGTCTAAGGCCACAATGCCGGCCCATGTAGTGATGAGTAGAAGGCCCGGGGGTTAGCCCTAGGCACAGTATGCTAGTATGATATTCAGGACGAGGTCCATTAATAGTGGGCGGGTGCCCAAGTATTTGTTTATATGATAATTTATACTTGTTGTCTGCGTGATACATGTATGTGCCTGGTAGGGAGGTGCGTGTGGGAAAGGTCCCGTATCTCACCAATAGCAGAGTGTGGATGGTGTTCCATATCTCATTAGTAGCAGAACAGGGGCGAGGCCCAAGTTAGGGAAAGGGTGAGTGTGGGTTGGGCCCGTAACTCACTATCAGTAAGGGCGTGGACGGGGTTCCATGACTCATCAGTAGCAAGACAAGGGCGAGGCCTTAGGACAGAAACATTGTATGTGTTTAGTTTATGTGTTATTATTTGTTAGTGGGCGAGGCCCGGTGACAGACGAGGCCTAATTGAAATAGATTTGTATCCGAGCGGGGCTCGAAGATAGGCAGGGCCGTTATAGCGGGCGAGGCCCGGGATAGCGGGCATGGCCCAATATGTGCTGTATATGGTTATGCATGGTATGTGGTAGGGTGGGGAACTCACTAAGCTTCGTGCTTACGGTTTTCACTTTTGGTTTCAGGTACTTCCGATAGCGGAGGGAAGAGCTCGGGGTGATCGCATGGCAAACACCATAGATTAGACAGCCTGGGAATGTTTACTCTGATAACGAACATGTGTTTTGAAAATTAATACTCTGATTATGTTTTGGAATGATGACTTTTCTTAAAGTAATGTTTTATTAAAAGAAATTTTTGGTCTTGAATTTTGGGTCGTTACACCTTGGATTTGAGAAGGGTAAGCAACTAGGTGGTTGTTCTGCAATTTCTAGCGAATCTGAAGCCCCGGATCCTGGCCGTGTCACAAGAAGGACCGAAGAGGTGGATGTTGCTCTTTCGTCCCTTGCTGAGATGGATTTCGCGGGCCTCTTTCACATGGGGGAGCTAGATTATGACAACTTCCACCAATTTTATCACAGGTTGGGACCTGGAGGTTCTTCCTCAGACTCCGAGGACTAATTTGTGTTTGTCCCTTCTGTTCACTCTGTAATGTAATTGCATTCCCATGTATTATATGTATGGTGAAAAACACTGGTTATTAATAACCAGGAACTGTGTATTTTTCTTTGTATTTGGCATGGAATTGTTCTCTCCCTTTTTTGTACATATAAATATATTTTGAATTGTCGATGCTTCTACTATAATTCTTTTCTATACGTTCCCTTGTTCTAAGGTTTGTATTAGTCGGTTAATGTGTGCTTCAGACGTCATATAATCGCCACTATTGACTTATATTTCACTGATTTGTATGTTGTAATCAGGATTTTTATGTTAATTAAGGAAATGTTGGTCAATTTTGTTGACTATACTTTGAGGTTTAGCTACCTGTATGTTGGCCGAGGTCATCACCTCAAGGCCTTTTACTGTTCACTTATCAGGGGAAAGGTTGTGAATCTTTTATCACACCTTTTTCTGTGCCATTAATTGGGATTTATACATTCTCAGCTCTGAGATGTTATTGACACATTATAGGTGTTAGGATTAAAATCCTTAAGGATCGATCAGATTCAGATCAAATAAAAGAATAACACAATGATGAATCAAGAATGTCGAATGATTAAGTGTCACGCCTCAGAAGAACTCGATGAAGAATTTCAACTGTAGGGGTGTGATTAGGGTTACAACATAATTATCAGAGTTAAGTAAAATAAGATACATGCATGCACCATAAATACTCTAACCCAAGAATTAAATATAGGAGGACAGGCCCAACCCGTTTACTTAATAAACATATACAAAAAGGGTCCAATGACGCAACATATAATCTTCAACAATCTCCCCCTTTGTGTCAATTGAGGCAAAAGTCCATTATCCTTGAATTCGCTTCTGCACTTCATAAATTTTCAGAATGAAGCTCAACAACAGATTGTGAATGCGAATGTGCCATAAGACCATGTCAGAGAAGCACTTGAGATCCTGCTTACTGTTTCCCTTGAATTTTGTCACCAAGTCCAAAATAAACTCAAGAAAAGAAGTAGTGTACATATGTTTGTCGGGGAGAAAGAAGCAAGACTTGCAAAAGTCAGCTCCAGTTCGTTCCCTAGACTGATACACCACGAGCCATCCTTCTTTATAAATCTTTCTTGGCTTCATCTTTTCAAAATCCTTTAGAGCTTCTTTAGGAACAAATATTTCTTTCGCAGTACCACAACTATCTCGACATCCATCTCACCAATCTGTTGAATGTAATACTGCAACATGATTTGGAGGTAGGAGATGACAGGTTCGTACTTCTCCTTCTCCTTCAACATCATGCTATAGAGTACGATCTAGTCATAATGTTTCAGAGTGTGAATTCGTAGACCTGACTCGTTGAACCTCTCGCCACTTTAAACTTTGCGTTGAGAAAGCTATCGGTCTCGATCAACCCTATGATTTTCACAACAATTATTTTTCTATCACACCAAGATTTATACTTGGCTTCATGTGCTTCAGGTTGAAAGAAAACAACATATGGTCTGCTCCACTGTCTGTGATTGGAGCTTTCGCAATTTTCACAAAAGCACGAAATCTAAAGGCCTTGGGAGTGATTGGTAGATCCAATTGCGAATCTTGTGTGTTTTGAAGATCAAATGACACAACTTGCTCTAACCAATACTGGTTGGATAGATCAACAACATCATGTTGGATTCGCTTCAAGGTCTACTTGGGAAATAAAAGTTTTCTACTCTGAAGTGTGGCATGAGCTTCTTTATCAACCCTTTCTTTTTCTTCAGCTTCACGTATGATTTAGTTGTTCTCATCCAATTCGGATTCACGGGCCTTTCGTCTTTTGTGCTCATCTTCATCTTCAATATTGTCAACGATGGGCTCATTACCAAATAGTTTTTCCTTGCGCTTAGGTTCTTGTTTGACAACTGGGTTGGTTGGAGATTTAGGGCCTTCTTTTCTTGTCATATTAGTTGGGCCACCTTCTTTCCCTTGTTTTGGAACAAAGTTTTGATCCGAAACACCTTGCAGTCTGTAAAGAATTTTGAAGACCGGCCTCAACTTCTCATTTAGATGCTTTCGGAAAGTGATGGTGATCATGGAGTCTCTTGTTTCAATGACATCTGAGAGTAAGCATGCAATATCAGATATACAACTTTTCGTTATATCATTCTCAATGAGCAAATCTTGAACCTATTTCTCAGCGTTTTCGAGCTTAACAGAGAGAACCTTCACTCTTGCAGTTTTGATGGCAAGAGAGTCCATAATTTTACTATCCATTGACGGTTCCTTTTGATGTTGGGAAATATGAGAAGAGATGGAGGTTTAAAAGGATTCATGATCAGACTGGAGACCGGTGCAAATCTTTTGTAACTTAGCCTTCTCGATTTTAAAGAGAACCTAGACTTTGCAGAGATTCATTGGCATTCTCTGTATTGTTGTCGAAGGTAGTTTGGAAGTTATCCATGAACCAAGTGGTCTCAGAAATTATTTTATCGACTTTTTTGGTCGTCAGCTTGCAAACTTCAGTAGAATCATTAACAACATTATTCTTTTTTTTTCTGCATTGGCCGCATGCTCTTTCATTATGCGTTTAAATAGAGACTCAACTGTTGCTTTAGAATAATCATCAAAAGATGATGCCTTGGAAGCGAGAAGCATTTGGTATATCTTTTCATGCAGGGAATTTAGTTGCTCTTTCGTAGCAGATGGCTCGTCCTCACTTTCAATCCTAATTTGGAAGGGACTATAGGTGAATCCTACGAGAGCTTCGTCAGTATCATCATCATCCCCAGAGACCATATATGGATCATCTTGGCGAATAGGCAAAATTAAGATGAGACATGGGTTGAGAAACATAATGTTTTAGCCCCTGTATTAGATACGTTGACTGAAACAGGAGGTTCGGTGGAGGTGGTTGGTGGGGTAGTAGAATCTATGAACAAAGGAGTAGAAAGAGGAATACTGGTTTATTATTGTGAAGAAACTGGTGGAGGACAAGGTGCAATAGAGATTGGGGTTGTAGTAGTTTTAGGTGAGGGAGGAGGAGAAGGGACAGAATCGTTAAGATGTTGAGTTACCTCAGGATTTGATATCTGTTCTTCGTTGTGAATGTTATCATCCTCGTTGTAAACATCCTCATTATGAACTTCCTCGTTGTGAACTTCCTCATTGCGAACGGGATGATCCTCCTCTATGAGAATATCCGACTGAGTATCAGACTCATCTTCGCTTTCACTCGGTGTAGGGATCTTTCGCTTGCGTGCGGGCTGCTTTCTCCTTTGAGGAGCACCCGTTGAGGTGCCCGTTGGTGCTTTTCGTTTAGGTGGAGGTTTAACAGTGACAGATGTACCTTCCTCAACAACAATTTTCTTTTCCCCTTTCTTCTCACCCTTTCCCCCTTTCTTGGGTTTGTTAGCCTCATCAATTATTTCTTGGATCTCTGGAGCAAGAGGACGAAACCCAGAAGGAGTAAGCTTGCAATAACCTTCCAGAATCTTGCTAGAGGCAGGCACGTCACGAAACATAGACTCTAGAATGGAACCGATGAACGAAAATTTTGAGTTATTAACCACAATGATGCTTGTTGTATGGAATGTTGACACAGTAAAAGCCAGAGCATCCTGCATCACTTGAATGTTGAGCTTGACGATGGCTCTCCGATCAATATGAGACCAGAACCGTGCACATGAAATTTCGTTGTGACAAGTCATTAAGTGTGTGCTCTGAATCACATGATCCCAAAATATCGCTCCAAAATCGACATTCAAACATGTATAAATGCCATAGAGTATAGTCAAGAACAGCTTACTGGAACAGTCAGAACCAGTAACCCTTTCTAAGCACCCTTTGGAAAGAATAGTAAAGAGAGCGTTCTATTGTGGGGGTAGGTTAGGTTTCCGGAATTTTTAGATCGCAGATAGGGTCTCCCTGTACTCCATTTGATAGATCATCTCCAGTAGGGCAGCGTTGGATATGAATTCCGGGTAGATCATCCCTTCATGTTGAGGAACTCCTAGAAGTGAGCAAAATCTGGTTTTTGTGATTGGGGTTTTCTGATCATGAATGTCAAAGGTGATTTTGTTTTCCTCCTTAATATAACTTGCAGAAGAGTACGACCTGGATAGTAGGGACATCGAAAGATCCTCCATCTTTGTTAGAGCTTGAACCGGTGGAGAATCCTTGAGGTACTCGACAATCAGCAAGAGATAGGAATCATATTTACAAGGTTCCAGATTGATGATCATGTTCTGGTTGGGTTTGACGGTCAGAAGAGTAGAGTGAGCAGCTTGATCATGAACAGATGATGAGCCAGCCATTGTTGAAGCTTGAGAAAGAAGATGAATAGTAAAGTGGTTTTGATCGCTGGAAATATTTTGTAAGGATTTTATAAGTGGTAATGAGAAAGGAATCATCAAAATCCTTATACACCATTCGATTTGTGAGGAAAATCCGGAAAGAGAATGCATCGGTTACTGAAACGTCGCCCGAAAAAGCGTGACTTGACAACTGTAGATGTCAGACCCATGCGTTATACGACGGAAAAGTAGCTAGCCGTTCAAAATTTCACGCGCCTTTTTGGATTCTTATCATAAGGAATTGTCGCGTTGGCATCAAACTTTTGCAGTTGAACATTCTTTGACCCATCCATTACAAACATTCGCTTTTAAAAAAACTTGGGTTAAGCCGCGAACCTGAAAGTAACATTAAGAACCACGAACAAGACTTTTGGAAAATCTGAAGGACCTTCATGCAAGAGTGTCAAAGATAAAGAAATAAATCAAAATATATTTGAGGAATTTCATGATGTCTATACATAGACACAAAAATGTTGATCCCGGGCATAGATCTCTTCCTTTGAAGTTAAGAGAGACTAAGATGTTTCTGTGTGGTTTCCCGTTGAAATACAATCAAATGATTGATAAGAAACATTGAAAAACATCTTTTAATTTGGTTAAATGGGTGGCTAAATCTCCAACCAAACAACGAACTTAATATAAGTACGAATGTTGGATGAAGTACTCATGTGACCAGTATAGTCAGTTGTACGAGTAGGCTTGGAATTATTTTAGTGACTAGACAAATCTTTGAAATCTAATAAAAATTTAAAATAAAACTGGATCTTAAGGGAAGAAGTGACTTGGTATAGGAACACTTGATAAAGATCTTGTAACAGAAAAATAGATTCCTTGATACAGACCACGAAGGTGGCTTTCGTTAGTTCCATGGTGAAAATCTAGAACATTTAATTGTTCAATGTCAATTCATGTAAGTGTGTTGGATTTTGGCTTTCACTCAGTTCATGGTGAACGAAGCTAAGATCATTAAATCAGAAGTTGTATAACCATAAACCTCAGTGGTATTGCTGAGAGTCTGAAGGGTTACATCTGTGAGTGTGATGGCAATGGAGAAGTGAGAAGGTGGTTCTAGAGAAGCGAATGTACCTCTGTTATATGAGAGTGACTAAGCAGATAACTCTTAACTCAAGGTGAGAAGATTGAGGTAGCTCATGAGTAATGTGAATTTAACAGCATGTTTGGGAAGAAACGAATGGTAGATTCGATTCATTAAGGCTTCATATAGAGTTTATTGAGGCTTTGAACAACATGCAACAACATGCTTCTAAGGACACCTAGCTAATACAGAGATAGAGAAACTTATACCTGCCTTATGGTATGTTTTATGTTTTTGAGATTTGAGAAAAGAAATAAAAACAAACACAAATTATTTTTTTGTCTTTTGTGATTTTCTGAAAAATAATTAAAACATAGAAGATTGAAAAACTAAGTAATAATATACATAAAATACAAAAGGATATTTGAAAAATCCGAACCATGAATGAACAGTAGAGTGTAAACTACTACGAACGTTCGCACCAATTCGCGGTGTTAAAGTAGACTGCGAATGAATAGTGGACTAGAAACTAGTGCAAACATTCGCACCGATTCGCACTGCAATAATTGTATGTGCGAAAGTGGTTTTGGAAAAGATTTAGATTCCATCATTCCTAGGCCTTGAAGGATCCTATTGAAGGTTGTTTCAGGCAATGCCTTTGTGAATATGTCATCTAATTGATCAGAGGATCTTACAGAATGAATTTCAACGTTGTCGTCTTCTATGTGATCCTTGATGAAATGATACCTAAGTGCTATGTGTTTTGTCTTTGAGTATTGCATTGGGTTGTGACAAATGCAAATGGCACTTTAAGAGTCACGATATAGTGGGATTCATTTCATGCTTAAACCATAATCACGAAGCTGATTTTGAATCCAAATGACTTAAGATGTACATGAGGTAGCAGCTATATATTCAGCTTCAGTTGTTGACAAGGACACACACGTTTGCTTCTTTGATTGCCAACTAACAAGTTTGTCATCGAGAAATTAGCATCCTCCAGTTGTGCTTTTTCTATCTTATACACATTCCCCAAGGTTAGCATCTGAAAATGATTGTACGAAGAAGCTTGATTTCGCAGGATACCAAATGCCAAGTGATGAGGTTCGTTTCAAGTGCCTGAAGATGTTCTTAGTGTCCACCATGTGAGGTTCGCAAGGATTCGCTTGGAACCTAGCGCAATAACAAACGGAAAACATAATGTCTGGTCTACTTGTTGTTAGATATATTAATGATCCTATCATCTGACGATAAAGGGTCATATCAGCAGCTGGTTTTTCCAGAGATGATGTTAGTTTCGTTCTGAATGCCATTGGAACCTTTACTTTAGAGTCACCCACTAGGCCAAAATTAGAGAGCAAAGTCTTTGTATATGAGGATGTGGGACTACAGATCTTCTCGACGAGTAGGCACCGTAACGAGAAACCCTAATTTTTAGGGGTTTGGTCCCTATTTAAAGAACTTATTGTTCATTTGCAGCCTCTTCCATTGTTCCTACAGCCAAACAAACCCTAGCTTGAGCCTTGCACCTTCTTGAGGGAGAAAGAGAGCTTTTGAGAGTGATTTTTGGGTATGAATGTTAAGATTTTGGAGCTTGAAGAAGAAGGATCAAAGAAGGAGGCAGTAGATCTGACATATACCCTGTATTGGTAACCATATTGAGGTATAAAGTCACTCTTTTGACATTTAGTTGATTAGATCTCTTTTCTTGGATGTCAATGGTCACTTTTGTTGCCAAAGGGGTGTCACCTTTGGATATGGACTTGTCACAAGGATATGGTTCCAGATTTGGACACCTCTAGGTCTTCAATGACATAAAGTTGCTCACTTTATTCAACCTAGGCCCTTTCCATGCATTAAGACCTTATAGGAACCTTAGTTTTGGCGTTTTAGCCTTGTGAGGCATTGCATGCATGTAAAGTCTGAAACTTTATGTGGTAACTACACTAGGAGAAGTTGGATCTAAAGTTTGGGACCTTGGATCCCACTGCAAAGGACTGAACCTAAAAAAGGACTAAAAGAACTCGTCAAGTCATGTAAGGTTTAGCCGCTTCAAGATTCTGAGTGATTTTTGTGGAGCATTGGGGTTCTCAGTCTGCATGGGTTTTTGGCCTTCTGGACATTGAGGAACTCGATGAGTTACACATGTAACTCGAAGAGTTGAAGAAGTTACTCAGGTAACTCGACGAGTTGCTGGATGCACTCAACGAGTTGAGGTCAACATGGACTGTCGACCTTGACTTTGACTAGGGTCGACTTTGATGATATTCATGGTAATTCAGGATTGTGACAATTTAATCACATGATGATCATAGGCGGTTGAGTTGGAGCAACACGTGAGATTTATCTAATCTTGACTTATCAGTTCAGCATTCACGACAAGTGAGTCCCCTCACCATACCAATGGGTCAAAGGCACCAAGGCCGGCCCATTTGTTATATGTGGTACACTCATTGTTGTATAGA